GAGGGCACACCTGCTCTGTGGGGGACACACCTGCTCTCTGGGAGACACACCTGATCTGTGAGGACACACCTGCTCTGTGAGGGCCTCTGGTTGGTAAACACCAGCTGTTCTGCAGATGTCCCTCCTGATGAACTTCACAGCAGCAGAAGGGCCTATATTCTATACTCTCTTTCAGCAACACTGAGCCCAATCTAATCATTGCTTCCTAGTGAGGAAGTCATCCAGAACAAGGAAACACCATCATTTACTTCCTGTTTTCACACTGACTGGCTCATGACCTCTGCTCATAGCATTAATTTGTCCCTAAATCCGCCAGCTCCCTAAACTTCCTACTACGTTTTGCCACTGCTGAGCTCAGACACTACCACACTGCTGATAGCCTCCTGTGATTGGCACACATAGGAGCATTTGCAGTAAAGTCGCCCTCTGCCACCTCCAGCTGAGACTATCACGTGCACACGTGGAAGCTAGTGGCTGGGTCCACACTTCTTGCAGACATATTACTAAATTCAGGAGTCTATGCTATAATAAAAATTGCTATGATTTTTAAACCCACTAGCAGAGTATACAGCCCACCCATATCTTACACCATCCCTGTGAGGATTAATGATAACAAGCTCTACTTGTTTATGCCAAATTGTCTAAAATCACAGTGACAAACTTATCCCAAAGTCATGGAGCACTAGCAGTGGTACCATTTGGGCCCAAACACTGTGAATTCCCACAGGAACCGCAGCCCCAATGGTTGCACATGTATTGCTCTTTTGTATTGCTAATTTCATTCTGTCTCACAAACCCAAACTCTGAACAAACTCACAACTGAACTGTATTTTAGCTCATGAAGTACAAAGAGCATGTCCTTCAGTAGTGACATGATGACAGTGGCTAGCCAGGACCCCCATGGCCCTGGGGTCAGGAACTATGGCAGGGGGCACTTCCTGGTTGCTGGTTGGTGCGTGAACACTGGCTGAGGGCAACCCAGTGCTTCCAAGTTGTCTTCCATGTCCTGCTGTCCTGTGCCCTGGTTTATAATCCTGGGAATCTCCTGGCAGAGAGGACTGAACTCCTCCTGGGGCCCCTGGAGTCACCTGAGTGCTCCTCTGAGCTGGTTAATTTTTAGCTCAATGCCCAGGGCAGAGGTAAGTGGCACAAAGGGAAGTGTCCAGGTCTTTGGACTGGCAGGAATTTCTGCTTTTCATTCTTCCCTCTTTAGTGACCCTTTTAGCTCTCATCATGCAAAACAGAGGCAACATGCCCCCTTCAGAAGTTGGAGACCCTGGGGCAGGGCATTCCAGGCCTTTTTAGGTCATGCTGGCTTCTCATCCCGTGAGGCAGGTCCTGTGGAGAGAATATATGAAGAAAAAAAAAAACAAAAAACCTCAAATTAAAAAATATTTTAAAAAGGTTTTTAAATAATTTTTAAGTTTCTTATGGGGAAAAGCATTTTGGAGGTGTTTCTTAGTGCCATTAGATCTTCGGGAACCCCCTTTTCTTTCTTCTTTGGTAGATCCAATGGTGAACACAATGTGCCCTTTGGGAGTGTGGAAATGATTTCACGCTTTCTACATCCCATGTAAGAAACAGGTTGAGACCAGATAGTCTGCCTGACTTTCCATATTAACACATGTCTCTTTATATACTGGTCAATATTGCATGCACTTAGCTGAACCCCCTCCTTCCCCAAAGAGCCCCTCCTTTGCCTGTGCATAGGTCGTTGCTGACACTCATTATGGATTAGTCTGTGTGCTTCCAATTCACCTATTGTTGAAGACAAGAGTTGGGTCTTCCTCAATTTTGTGTTCTCACTGTGTAGCACAGGCTTGGAAAATGCAGGCTGTAAGAGTTAGACATTCGTTGATGCAGAGAGGTTATGTAAATAATTTGTTCCTAAATATTTAATTGGACTAACTAGGGGACCTTGAAATTTAGACAAATATTATATAAAATGAGTCTTAAAGAAATAAATGTCTTTGAAATTATATCTAAAGAAACAGTTGTGTGTAAAGTGCCCCTACAATGTAAATGATTACAACTTATTGTCTGAATCTCATTTTGGTGGTGGCAGTGGCCCCTAGTGGCTTGAGGCTTAGAGTGTCAATGTTCTGGAAACAACCTTTCTCTCAGGATGGCTGAGATGGAGCAGGCACATCAGCTTCCAAACAGGTAAAACAGTGGCAAAAGAAAAATGTGTAAAGCAACAACAGTGGAACGGACTCACGGGTGCCTTAGCTTTTCACTCGGGATCCTTACTACTGCCCGTCCATTTAGAAATGAAAAAGATCACCAAGACTGGGGGTGCGACAAAGGCGAGCTATGGCTCCCTCTTTTGACCAAACACAGCAGTGTGCTGCCCTGCTTTGGGGTGTTGGACGAAGCAGTGGGAGACAGAACGATTCCGCTTTCTTGGTCTTCCCTGGGCCCGTGGGAAACCTAAAGCTCTGTGTGTTTCAGGATATCGAGAACCGTGAACATTTTGGTAATATGGAAACTTTTTATTATTTTAAGCAGTTTATGAACCTGGATTTGGGACAGCTGTTTGCATACCTAAATTCACTTAAAAGGCGCTCAGCAGTGGGTGACTTTCCCTCAGTGAGCGGCCGGTGAGGTACTCACTGTGTACGTACAATTTAAGAGGTGCTTAAAACTCAGTTATCAAGATAACATTTTTATAAAACATTTTTTAAAATAAAAATTAACACCAATTGTACATGATAAGCAAAATATCGATCTTTGAAGTAAGGGCAGGGTCAGCAGCTCTGGTTTCCTGTTTGCCCTCATCTCCCACTGGCAGGGCACCGCCCAGTCTTCTCTGAGGGTTCCTGGGGTGGCCCAGCCTCTGAGCTGGGCACCTGGTTTCCAGCAGGCACTGCTGCTTACTTGGTGCCTGACTCATGGGAAACCTCATGGCTTACCTCCTGTCACTGTGAGTCCTGGCAGGCACAGACGAGGCAGGAGGGAGAGGACAGTTCACAGTGTGAGGAACTCAGTCGTTGTTGTTGGTCCTACAACCTGGAAGACGGAATTCACCTACAACCCAAAGATCCTAGGAAACAGACCCTTCCCGAGAGCTGACAGAACAGGGTACAGCCCTGCCCACACCTTGGTTTAGCTTGATAGACCCGTGTTGGACTTCTGACCTACGAATCTGCAAGGCGATACATTTGCATTGTTTAAGCCTCTAAGTTTGTGGCCATTTTATGGCAGCCAAAGAAAATCAATATAGCTACCAAATGTAGTGGATGGGCAGTGCTCAGAGCGTGTGTCATCTGTGGTTTGCCAGTGTCACTCCACCCCTCGGGGAGGGAAATGATCTATCCATCTAGCCAGCTAGGGATCACCTAGCTCTTCCTCTCACCCCTATTAGAATGCAGTACCTCATTTCCATATTCAGGAAGTTGCTGCGATTGTTAGGTCTTCTTTGTTAGAACTAGTCATTCTGACAGATGGAAATCTGTCAGAATGTTTTTTATAAATATAAAAATGCCCATCTTTGGTATTAACAAAATTGTAATAAAATATATAAAAGTTCTTAGTGATAGCTGTCCACAATGGGAATGGTACCCCTGGTGTGGATGCCTGTGGTGCACACAGTGGAAGCCACCAAGTCCTGCAGTCCTGCTGTGACCGTACTGACCCTTGCTAGACAAGGTGCTAGACTCAGGGTAATTGCCTTCCACTCAAATGCCTTCCCCACAGAATGTGCAGTTTCCCCCAGGATGGAGACAGATTCTTCTCATCTGTCTGTTCCTGGCTGAGGCCAAAGCCTGGTGTAAGGTGAGGACTCAAAGCTTGTGGAATGAATGAATGGAAGGAGTTTTTATGCTGTAACTTCACTCAAGAGAGCTTCACTTCCTTGTTGGCAGATGCCCTTTATAGTTATTTGCACCATTGTTTTGGATAGTGGCGTTTAACTTTTTATTTGGCTCTGATTTCTGGGGTGTTTTCTATAGATTTGGTGGTTGAATTGAAACTATAGTTTTAAAAAACTACTTGAGGAAGATAATCACACAATGATAGTTTTTGAATGACTTCTTATAACTCATGCTTTGTGTTAGTGCATATTTCTTTGTTTTAGATGTTAAAGGTGTGTGTGTGCGTGCATGCGCATATGGGCATATGTATGTGTGACACAAAGAAAGGGACAACATTTTTTTTGCAGGTGTGTGCTGAAATTATTGTTGGAGCAATTGGAAGAGTCCCCAGAGGATGGAGGCTCTTGTGAAACAGATTTGAATTGGATAGAGTCTTATTTTTAGATGCAATGAGGGTGATCAATCTGGCTGAAGGTATGGTTTCTGGGTGAAGAAGACAGCATTCTTCCAAAGAGTGGGAGAAGGTGTAAGGATGTAAGGCTCAATTGTAGCCAACTCTGAGATGATATTGTGGAAAGTTAGACATTTAGAATAAAAGGAGTTTGAAATTTTAGAACTATGGGATAAAGTGTTGAGATTTGACTTTGAGAGGTAATTTAGAACCACGGCATATTTCTGAGTGGGAGAATAACATACTCAGAAGGGAAAATAAGTAAGTGGTTTATATGTCAGAATGGGGAAGTCTTAATAAATTTTATATTTAATTCCAGTCTTATTGAAAGTGTCCAACTCCTAAGGATTCATAAATAATGACTAGGAATTAGAGAGTACTCTTGAAGATGAATCTCTCTTTGTGGGAAACTCTTTAGATACAGATGCTGTTAGTCAGCCTTTTTTGTCATGTGACCAAAACACCAGCCAAGAACAACCTAGAGAAGAAGAAGTTTGTTTTGGCTTACGGTTTCTAATACAGTCCATGGCTGGCTGACTCCATTGCTGCGGCCCTGAAGTGAGGGCGAACACCACAGCGGCAGGCTTCTCAAAGCTGCTCAGCTCAGTACAGCCAGAATGAGAGGGGGAGAATGAGTCAGGGATAAGATACAGTCTAAGGGCATTCTCTGGTGCCCATTTCTCTAGCTATCCCAACTGTAGCTACTCTGACACTCTGTGATGTGCTTAAACTCTTAGATGGAGTGATCCACTGTTGGTTACAGCCCCTGAGAGCCGAGTCTTTGTCTAACAGCCTACCTCCTGACCTTGCTGCCTCGAGGACCTTGATTTCAACACAGAGCTTTGGGGGATGTCCAGATCCATACCACCACAGGTGAACATGGGAGCCGCCCTTGCAGGGTGGAGCAGCCTTCCGCAGAGAATGAAGAGGGAGGTGTTGGCTCGCTGGAGACCGTACCTGCTGAGTCAGGGTGGCACCCACTTGAGCTGTCCCTTCTAAAAGCCAACTAGGGGCTCCTCACAGAGGACTGGGAGGCCAGCTGCACTTTGGTAGAGCAAACTCTTGCCAGGTATCTGTACTGGTGATCAGGACACTGCAGCTGTTACTCAAAGTTGTTACTCAAAGAATTCTGCCCAAGAATTTTAATATTCCCTAGGAGGAGTGTGATTCTGTTAATTGCTTCGACTTTCTTCATGAGTTTAGGTGTAGAGCAATGATTTGATTCACACAATTCTCTCTTTGGATGCTGTGTGGAAACAGAGGGGAGAAGAAAGGGGTAGAGGTTAGCAGGCTGGGCAGAAAAAGGGCAGTGGCAGTTTGGCCAGAGAAGTTACGGTGGAGACCAGAGAGGGTCTGACTTTTGGAAGGCAAAGCTGGTAAAACTTGTTGAAAAGTCAGGTCCAAGATGCCACTCACCCAGGAAAGGAAGGCCTGAGTATGGGATTTTTTGAGTAGCAAAAATTAACTGTTTTGTTTTGCACATATTAAAATTAAAGATGTCCCTTAAATATCCAAGTGCAGATGTCATAGAATCTGTTGCTAGAGACAACCTCAGTGCTGAAGATAAACAAGAGTCAGATTTGGACCAAAAGAGAGCAGCTGAGGAGCAAGTGAAGACAAGAGAGAAGGTATGGACTAGGGCACAGGTGGCCCATCAGGTAAAGGTAACAGAAGAGATGAGCCAGCAGAGCCTATGATGAACGACAGCAGAGAGGACCAGGGGGCCTGTGAAAATAGCATCGTGGAAGATGAGAGAAGATGGGGCTCCACACACTGCCACGGCCCTCATGGCTGCAGGTGGATGTGGTCAAGTTTGCTGAAGGCAGGCAAGACGACTGGAGCCGCCTATCCCGTAGGAGAAAATTGAATGGAGAAGATTCAGAAGATATTCAGGCCAGATTAGGGGCACATGTGAGTATTTTTTTTTTTAATTATTATAACCTTTTTTTTTGGTATGCCTGAAGAATCTTATAATGAAATAATTTGAAGACAAAAACCGCATTGCTTATTTAAAATTATTTTCATTTTGTGAAATTCTGAGGGTATAAATTAATCTAAATATATGATATGAATTTTACATCAATGAAAAATCAAGATGAGGAACAGAGGGACAGGGACAGCAGGAGGGGATGTGGGGACAGGGAAAGGGCCAAAGTGGACAGAGGGAGAGGGACAGCAGGAGGGCATGTGGAAGAGCAGTTATTGCCAACTCTGGGAGCAGAGAGGTGTCAGGGTCCAGGAGGCCTCGGATGATCCAAACAAAGTAAGTGTGCAACGCGAAGCAGCTGGGCCGGAAACGGCGTGTTATCCAGGATGTCGATGCTCACGTTGCAGTGGGGAGCACCATGAGGATGGTCCAGCCGCCCAGACCTCCTCCCTAAGGCCCTGCCTGTAACCTAAAGCCACCGCCCTGTGACCTTCTCTGGGTACCTCCTCACTCTGCAGCCTGAGTTTCTCATTTGTAAAGTCAAGGTAATAATGGCACCAGCATGGCCTATTTTTAAAAATATGCTGAGACAATTAACAAAACTCAAGTTACTTATTAAATATTCAGTATATGCCCATTATTGTTGCAGAATCAAACAGAACCATTTGGCTACCTAGCAGAATCTTATCTTAGGGAATTTTAAAAATTATTTAACAAAACCTGATACCAATCTGCCATGGGGACACAGACCTGCCCAAGTTTGTTGTTTCACAGTGGCTCTAATCACATCCAAGCCTCAAAATGTCCAGATTACAGCATTTACTATCCCACAGAGGAGGCTCACACTCCCTCCTTTCCCAGCTCGTCCTGGTTTTCAGGGGCTGACAGGACCCTAAGCCACGCCTGGGCTCCCCAGAACTTCCTAAAACTCTGTAGTGGGCAGAGGTAAGCCACTCAGTTCCAGGCACCAAGGACACTGCCAGGTAAGGGAAGAGGTCCACCTTTCTGTGTCATCACAGAATCAATGTCACACCTCTGTAAGATCATTTATATAATCACAGTATATAAATCATAACTGAAGAATGAAGGCCATTCTTTTGTAAAATAAACTAAGATGAAATCTTCGATGAGGAGAGGAATCCTGAGTTGCAAATCTTCTTGGCACATTTGTATTTCTTCAGAGAAGAACGGTAAGTAAGAAGAAAATAAGGTGAAGTCAATTGCCCTCTTCACGTCGGCCAGCTGTCCACCCCCCAGAAGAGGGATTTCTTCTCATTCCTCTGAGAATCAAGGCTCATTTACTTAAAGGCATGCGCTAAAGAGTAATGAGGCAAGCTGAAAGAGTCTTCCCAGTATGCCTAGAGAAATGTGACACACCATCATGTCTGAGGCCTTGTAAAAATCGAAAGCCATTTCCTTCGTTGAAAGACAGGAGCAGCGAAGCCTGCCTCAAATGTGGCTTTCCAGACACCAAGGAAAGGACTCGGCTGCGCTCAGTTGCTACGGCAGATGGAGCCTTGTGTGGTAGCCTCCCAGTGGCAGAGCTGGAGGGGATCTGGAGCCTCCACTGGGATGGCTGGAGGGGCAGGGAGGACAGGATGAGGTCTACACAGAGCGACCTGAAAACTGAGGGGTCTGGCCACCAACATCTGGGCAGGGGACCACCCTAGCCCCTGCCCTGGAGGATAATGCCCAGCACATTCTGCAGTACCTCCAGAGGCCTGAGGGCTGGCTCTCATGGGCCTGAAGAGGGGACCTGCCTTTTCTGTCTCAGTTCCCTGCCCTGCTTGTGTCCCCTGGTCACCTGCCAAATAAACTAAGAGTCTGATCCTAGAGAAAGTCTTGCTGATGTGCAAGGAATATATCTAACATATTCCTCGTCCAATAGTGGACTCAGGTTGGAAAGTACCCCCAGCCCTCCTGCCTGCTTCACTCCTCGAGGAGCATGAATCTATGAGGTCCCAAAGGCAGCTTGTTATATGAGAGTGGCTCTCCTGAGGGCAGATACCAGTTAAGATGGCAGTATCATTTTCAGGTCAGATGGACCTGAAGAAAGTAGGAGGTAGGACAGGGTCTCAGGGTTGGGCTGCAGAAATTCTTAGAAGAGGTGAATGCGGAAGACCATGGCGGGGGGGGGGATGGACAGTTCCTGGTAGGAGAACCAAATATGACCTCTCCATTAAACCAGGCTTCCTGCTCAGGGGAGGGTATTAGTAATGTCACAACAATGTGACATTCCTGATCCATGGCTTCAGGATGATAATGGGCAGTGAAGCAGCTTCCTTGGGTAATGGATAATGGGTGGGGACAGGGAGGAAGTGAGTATGAAATTGACAGGAGCCATGGGCAGAGCCTGATGGATTAATGCTGAGTCCAGGTTCTTTGAAGAACATAGAGGCACTTGCTGCCGGGGGTCGGCGGGCGGGGGAAACCTCTCTGCTGCGCATCCTGCTCCAATGCTGCCTTCTGATTTTTCAGTCTTTTTATTGCTCTTCACCATCTGTTCCTCAAAACCAGAGAATACATGTGTGCAGGTGAGGATTTGCCTCAAGTGAGGCAGAGCAGACAGCAGGCTGTAAATATCTTACACTTTCCAGGATCATTTTTTTTTCAGAATATTAAGAATTCATGCCAACGTTTGACAATAGATACACTGAAGAATGTTTTACTGAGAGAAACAATTACGTTAGAGAAAGATGGGGTGAGCTGAGATGTCAAAGAGCCGTTGTGCCATTTAACGGAGCTTGGTTGACTCACCTACCCAGCGATGAAAATTGTACATGCCCTTCACCAATTATTTTTCTTTAATATATATAATCTTCTTATAGAAATTTGTAAATGCAATACATGAACCCTGTTCCAGCACCATCCGGGAGTGAACTTCTGGAGAGGATGCCACAATACTGCCATACGCTTTAGAGCACATTCCCTGCAGACCAGGATATTTTCCTGCTGTTTATTTTGCAGCACAGTGTGGACTCGGGATTCTGTTTTGTTCAAAGAGCTGTACCTTGCTGCTTTCCCTGTTTACCTCCATGTGCCAGTTATCCCAGGTTTATCCAGTGGAAGTTCCTTTCAGGGAGTTTCTATGTTCCTTGGACCTGCTCTCATCATTCTTGGAGAACTCTCTTGAGTTTTGACATAATGTGTTCTCAGCTCATCTCAAACTTGGCCCCAGGCCTGGAATCTTCCATTTCTCTAGAAGACTCTGGTGTATATACACATGCCTATTGATACCTACATCTCCAAACCTATCTGTATGAATTAACAGCCACAAGTTCTCAATAGTATTTTTAATTCTGATCCAATTGTACAGCGTTCTTTCTTGGTTTTGCCCCTTTCATATTAACAGCTCTCTTCCCCATCAGCAAGAGGAGTAGCTTCTGCTGTCTTTCATAGGTTCAGTCATTCCACCAGTTTTTCCATATGTGGTCAGTGTCCCTGCAGCCCCCTCTTAAGGCCCTTCCTCACCCACTTGAGCTTTAGCACTTCTCCCTGCTCACCTGTCCAGGCTCAATACTCTTATACTCAATTGCTCAATACTCTTATACTCAATTCCATACCCATGAAGCCCCCCCCCCATGCTCTTCTCATTCTGCTAGGGTTCTGGTCCCTACACAGGCCACATCCCCACTTCTGGACATCCTGTTCATTGGCACTCTGCTTTGGGCCACCCCAGTTCTCCTCCCCAACCCCAACTTATAGCTCTACCTTTTTTGGTCACAATTAATGGCTCCCTCTGCGCCCTCCTCAATAATGGAGCTTAACTTCATTGAATAAAAATTATATGCTAGTTCTGGAATTTCACTTTGTCACATCTCATTCAAGATCAGGTCGTAGGGCTGAAGGTGTAGCCTAACAGGTGCAAGGCCCTGGGTTTGATCTTCAGCACCAAAACAAATAAGCAAACCATACACAAACATACACACACAAAACAAAACAAACAAAACAAAACAAACAAAAAACCAAGAAACAAACAAAACACCCTGGAACCTAAAGTTGCTAGGAGTCACCAATAACACATGACAGGAACCCTGGTGTTCCAAGGCTCCTACTGGTGGTCCCAGGATGCACCAGCCCCTTCACCTCCCTGTCCCTCCATCAGCCACAAATGAAACAAAGAGACACGAACACTTCCTGGGCAATCTGGTGTACACATGAGATGCCAGCAGCTTATGCATAGCTCTTCAGAGGGTATATGTCCGTTTGGTGGGCTGCATTCTTGGTTTCATGAAATACAGAATCTGTATTAGAATGGAAAAGTGTAAATTGATCTTTGCTTGTCGATCAAGCTATTTAACCATCTTTTCTGTGACTCTTACAAGTTTAGAGCAAGTTTGTAAGTCTTTGGTTGCCTTCAGACGTAACCCTGTCTACCTTAAAATCCCCTCCTCTGCCCTCCCAGTATCTTCTGCTTTGTCCAGTGAGGCACCCTTCTCCTTGTTGCCTGACTCACCAGGAATGTTTTGTTGCACCCTTGATTTGCAACACCTTTTCCCCACCACCCCTCATTGCCCCTCCCTCTGCTCTGTGAAAATGTCCCCTTGAAGGTCTTTCGTGATGTCGCTCTTAGTCTTCTCTGCTTGATCCCTGTGAAACGTGGACACTGCTTCCCATTCACTTCCTAATGTCCCCACTGTATTGGTTTCTGGGTTCATTTACTGGAGCTGCTCTTACAAAGCACCACAAACTGGGTGGTTTAAAAAAATAGAAATTCACCCTTTCAGAGTTCAGGAGGCCAGAAGTCCAAAATTATGGCTTTGGTAGGCCACACTCCCTGTGCAGGCTCCAAGGAGGGTCCTTTCCAGCGCCCCTGGTGTGCTTTGGCTTGTGGCTGCCTCACTCCATTCTCTGCCTCCATCTTCACGTGGCCTTCTTTTATCTCTCGGTGTCCTTTTCTCTTTCTTATTAGGATGTCTAATTAGATACAGGGCCACCCTGATTCATTATGCCCCCTCTCCAGCCTTACCTTAATTACATCTACAAAGACCTGGTTTCCAGTTAAGGACACATTCCACAGCTCCTGGTGCATGTTGGGGATGCTACTTAACTGAGCACAGTGTCTAAGTCGAGCCTTGCCTCTGCTTCCCGACATCACTGTCAGCTCTTGATGAGGGAGTCTGCCAGACTACTGTGCTATGTGTACCATGCTCATGATGCTTACTCCCTTTCTCATGGCTTTGAGTATTGGGTACTTGAAGCATGTGTTTGGATGACAAAGATTCTAGGTCTCCAGTCCCATCTCTGCAATAGTCCAGTAGAGACACAACTGGTGTCCTCCATGTTGGCCGGCCTGATGTAGTCCAGCAAGCCTAACAGAAACACATCATCATTCTGTCCCTGCGTCGACTGGCAGCCAGGTCCATTCCTAGTTCCTCACTGGGTCAGAGGCATCATTAACCATAATTGTTCAGGCTAAAGTTCTTAGTGTCATCTCTTACGTAGCAGTTTGAGAATTTGTGGCAATGAAAGAAAAGCAGCATACCTTATAATGGGATGATTGAAAAAGGAAATTACAGGGAGAATTTCCTTATAAGATGTATTCCCTTTGGGTAAGTTATGAAGTTAGCTCTGAATTGCTAAATAAGGTAAGATCACAAATTATTAGATTTTCACAGCCTCAAGTTTAAATAAGTTAAAGTTTTTCTAGTCTTCAAGTATTTAAAAATATCTTCAGGTTAGCTATCACTAATTTGTAGGAAGACCAATCTGAGAGGTAAATAATAAGGAAACAAGGGAGTTCTTTAGAAAATGATATTTAATAAAATAAATAGGCAATAAAAATTTTACTTTTTCTTTAAATAGAGTTAAATACTGATTTGTTGTTGAGATTTCCCCCCAATTTCTCAATTTGTATTATTCTTTGCATTTTGAGACCCCATGGGTTTCAAGTATTAAGCTGTCCCTGGAAAATAATATTGAACATCTGTGGACACATCTTTGCTCTATGGAAAAATGTAGCCTTTAACTGCAAAACTTCTTGTCTTTGTAATTTTGTAGGATTAGGTTAGAGCAATGCCAGATCATTAGTAGAGTGAGAAATGCATCCTTAGGTGACTTCTTTTTTTTTTTTCCCCAGTACTGGGACTTGAACCCACAACTCATGCATGCTAGGTGAGCCTCTATGACAGAGCTACATCCTCAGCTGCAGTGATGTCATTTTATGCAAATGTCCTGGAGTGCACTATGCTAACACAAACATTCCAGAAGGAGCGACCCACTACACACCTGGACTGTATGGTGCAATCTATATTTTATTTTTAAACATTTTTGTTAAGAGACTAAGGCAAAAATAGTTTCATTAGCCTGGGGCTACACAGTGTCAGAATCATAAATATCACTGTCTTCCACCTCCATGTCTTGTCCTACCGAAAGTTCTAAGGGACCGTAACAGGCAGGGATCCATCACCCCCTGTGAAGTCTTCTGGAACTCCTCCAAAGGGACTTTCCTTTAAAAAAATAAGTAGAATACATTAAAATAGCTATAGAAGTATATGTATTAATTACAAGAGCCCATGACAGTCATTTATCATCATTATCAAGTATGGTGTGCTATTCATAGTTGACTTGCTATATTTTATACAAGAGGTAGTGCAGTAGGTTTGTTTGCAGTGGTGTCACCAGGAACAGGTGAGTAGTGCACTGCAGTGTGGCTAAACGTGAGGCATCACTGGGCCATTGGAAATTTTCAACTCCTCTACAACCTTCTGGGACCATCTTCTCATGTGCAGCTGGTCACTGTGGAAACGAGTGAGCATGTGTGACACTGTAGCTGATGTCCATGGGGCTTCGCACATCGCTGCCCTCTTGTTCAGCTGGATGTGTTTTTACCTCTGATCTTCATGTCCTTCTGGGTCCCTTTGTTATCTGCAGATAAACTGAGACTCAGAGAGGTTGAGTGAAATTGTCCATGTCACTCCAGTCAGTGGAAGAGCTGGGATTTCATTCCTTGGTTTGTCTTGCTCTAAGCTTTGTCCCTAACTATTCAAATATAATAACTTTGAAAATTTGCAAGTCATAGTCTAAGACCCCTGATTTTCAAGGTACTATCAAGATCTCTTTCCCTGAAAAAAATGACTATAGGTTTCCAGTGTGACAACTGATTTCTATGTTGCTCCTTCCATGATGCACAGGAAAGCTTCTGGGTCCCCTCCAACCCCCACTGATGATCTCATGTCCAGCACAGGGTGAGGAAATGGGGTCAGAACTGTCTGACCTCCTGCTCCCTTGTGCATCAGAGACCAAGGAGCTCATGTTCTCTCAACAGGAAAACAATCACAGCTGGGAGCAGAACAGGACTCCTACAAGGAGAATCTTAGCAATGAACAAGGTCAGTGGGAGAAGGTAACACAACGATAAAGGAAAATGTTATATTCACGGTGTAATGTATGAGAAAAGATTCCATAGCAAAAAGAAACCATTTCTCCTTTCCAGTGGTAAATCCCAGCATAACTCTTAGAACACAGTTAAACTCTATAACAAGGTTTTAAAAAGATAAGCAGAGTAACTTTAGCACCTCTCCAAATAGTTCTGCTCAATATAATTCAAACAAGGTATTTGAGTGGCATATTAAAAGTCCTTCAGTGCCAGGGATTTATTTCCTTTTTTTTTTCTGTTTTTTTTTTTTTTTGCTATGTAAACTATTTTGACCAGATTACAGAATCTAATTAAGCTAAACTCTTTTTTAAAGTACATTAAACAATTCAAAATTTCCTTTTCATTCTGAAAATATGTTTAAATTTGAATATGGGTCTCTTGTGAATGGTAATGAACAGTTAGTTTCTATGAACACTTCCTCATAATATCATCATTTCCACAAAGAACCAAGGGTATTTCTAAAGTCACATCTGGAATTGCTCTCTGGCACTGATGCCAAAGGAGTTTATGGCGACAGCTGTACAAGGCAGTAAGGTGAACAAAGACCTGAGTTCTCCTTTGAGCAGGAAATGAAGTATACTCTAGCCTCAGCAGATGGGTGGCTTGGTGCTAATGCGCTGAGGAACACCCTGGTGCTTCTAATCCAGGCTCCTGATGTCTGTTCAGCCACAATGGAGAGAGCATTGTATCTGTGAAATGTCATCCAGCTCTGGTTTCATGGTTTTAAGGGGAAAAAAAAGTGAAATAGCTCTGAGTGTCAAGGTTTTCTTCTGGTCTTCTAAATTTTAAATTATGTTTTATTTTTTTAAAATTCTTTTCTTTCTTCAATATTTTATACACACACACACACACATATATATATATATATATATATATATATATATATATATATATATTTTTTTTTTTTGTATGTGTGTGTGGCACTATTAGGAAGATCCTACTAATTTTCATACCCACTCCTAATGGCTCCTCCCCTTGGGGCCTGGGAAGGCTCAGCTGGGAAAGAGTCTGGAAACTGGGCCTCACCTTCCTGCCCCTCCCCTTCAGGCACATAGGAGGCCACATAAGTTGCATTAAGGGCATGGGGCTTTGACTCTCACCAGGAGAGTCAAACAATCCACCTCTGCAGCATGTTAAATGTCCTCCCCAAACTGAAGTACCTTCTGTGTGCTGGCTTTTATTAAATTACTGCAGATGTCATGTGAACAGATGCAGAGGGCCCTTAAGCAGCCTAGCAAAGGAGGGGCCAGCATGGTCTCTTGAGTTCTGTTGGGAGAGCTTCTAGTACCACTTTGCATAGCATCTTACACATGTGGTATCACATTGCTGCATGTTTGTTCAATACACAGAAAGGCTTTTGTCCTGAGTAAAAGGAGAGCTTCCTTACAAGGCCAAAACCAACTGCAGCAACAGCCCCAAATGAAGAGGCTGCTAAGGCACCAAGAGCTGAAGGTGGGGGCATTTTCTTGGCCAGTTGTCCCCAGCTATCCATGTCACTTCAGGATTCCATTAAAAATGATGGGTTTCTGGGCCCTGTCATAGTGCAATGGCCCACCCCCAAGATACCGTGTGTTCTAGCGCTTAGATCCTGCAATGGGATCTTATTTGGGAAATCTTTGTGATGTAATCAAGGTTCTTGAGGTGCGATCATCCTGGGTTATATGAATGGTCCCTAAATCCAATGACAGCTATCATTAGAAGGGAAGAGATGGGGAGATGGAGAGCAGAATTCTGGCCATGAAGTGACAGAGGCAGAAATGGTGTGAGGCAGCCACAAGGGTAGGGAGCCACCAGATGCTGGAGGAGGCTGGAAGCATTGGTCTCCAGAGCCTTTTGGGGAGTGTGGTCTTGCTGGTGCTTTGTTGGCAGGTTCTTAGCCTCCAGAACTGTGGGAACAGCCTGTTTTCAGGCCAGGTTGTGAACATTTATTTTGGGAGAATAATATGGGCCTTGCTTAGGCCTACAGAAATCAAGTTTTAAAAATTTCCAGAGTGATTCTGATAATCGGGTAGTTTTAATGTTTTAGCCTTTTCATGGTCATGACCAAAGTACTGAACAGGAATAACTTAGAGGAGGAGAAGTTTATTTGGGGACTCACGGTTTCAGAGGTCTTAGTCCACAGACAACCGATTGCATTGCTCTGGGCCCAAGGTGAGGCAGAACCTCATGGGGAAGAGCATGGTGGAGGAAAGCAGCTCTCCTCCTGCAGCCAGGAAGCACAGAGAGAAAGCAAGGGGGAGGGGACCACAGGGAAGATGCACCCTTCCAGGGCAGCTCCCAGTGACCCACCTCCTCCAGCCACGCCCCACCTGCCTACAGTTACCACCCCATCAGTCCATGCACAGTAAGAAAGGCTGATTAGGTTACAGGCCTCATAATGGAAGGTTCTAGGGGACACCTTGTATCCAAGCCATAATAGGCAGTGCCATCTGAGTCAATGGTCTGGTTCTGAGTTTTGTGACACCTGCTGCACATTGAATGGCCTCGGGTTTTAGAGGGGACACTTCCAGTGGTCATGCTCTGGTGACCCAGGCAGACGACTCTAATCGACTTGAGGTTGAGAAGCACCTGAGATATGGATCCGTGCATCATCCCATGGGATGACTCCTCCATGTCCTGGCTGCCCCTGACGGCCCTGCAGCTGCCCACACTGGAGCAGCCTGTCCTTTGTCTCCAGGCTCTGTCCACGTTGCTCACCCTCCTTCCTGTGCACGCCTGCCCTCTGTTACCCTCTCTGTTTAAACCAAGGCATTACATACTTGCAGAGTGTGCAGATGGGGGGACACAGCCCTGTGTGTTGACAGTGGCCTGCATCTGTGGGACCCCCAGTCTCCTCCCCCAGGAAGGGTCCTATGCTGCCCCAGTTCCCTCCCACTCCTCATAGAAAGAGTGCTTAGCTTTTCCTGTCACTGGATTTCCCATGTGTTTGCTCCCAGGGTGCTGGGGTACCCTTGTTTCCCCACCACCTATCCCTCATGCTCTGCCATAAGAAGAGACTAGAGAGCGAAGCCACAACTGCCCAGTCCTCACACACTGGTCTTAGCTGTAAAAATAGCGTAAAAAGGAAATGACTTGATAATGATGAACGATGTAATCATATTTGATAAAGACGAAAATGAACACTTTTATAGTTCTATAATATGAAAATTAGTGAGCCTATTAAGATTCATTTGTACTATTTGAAATGAGTTTTTTTGTATTATCCCACTTCATGCATCTATACGCTAAATAAAATCAACATCAATTACTGTGATATTTAACTTAATCAATGTAGGCATCTTATTTGAATTATCAATAAATACAGTTGACAGTATTTATTGGCAGCCCAATCACACACAGTAGCCGGTGGCTTCCAGGGAAAACATGGCTGATTTCCATCATCTGTGCCAAAGACAAGGGATCCTGTCTGGTTCATGGAAAAATCAATACATTGATAGTTGCAATACAGTATGTACCTGCTGCTGTTGAGTTGTCTTCTGTCTGATCTTGGACAGTCCTAATAAAATGCCAATGAGGCAGATATTGTCATCACTTGAGAGATGAGGAAACTGAAATGCACAGAGGTGAAGAAATAGGGAAGGCAACACTTGGTAATAAAACTCTTGGGATTTGAAAATCAAACAGGCCTGGGTTCAAATCCCTGGGTCCAGGCTCATAAAAAAGATGAACTTGAGACACATATTGCCTTAAGGTGGCTCCCCAAAGGTGGATATTTCCCTTTCATCACTTTCTAATCCCTGGAACCTATGAATGCTACATTCTTATATGGCAAAAGATGTGACTGGGTGAAGGATCTTGAAAGCATGCACTTATCCTCGGTGATATGGTGGGCCCTAAATTCCACCACATGCATCCTTGTAGGCCAGACCCATAACAGAAGACAGAGAGGAAGCTATGTGCAGGGGGCGGGCAGAGACTGGAGAATGTGGGGCCTCTAGAAGCTAGGAGAGGTGGGGAGGATCTCCAGCACCTCCAGATGGAGCATGGCCCTGCCTGCAGCTAGAATTTGGTCTCCAGAGCTGTGAGACCACACATTTGTTTCTTTAAACCACCCCATTGGTGGTACTTGGCTTTGGCAGCCTCAGGAAGCAGACACACCCTGCTCCCTCCTTCATACCTCACATATGCTTTTCAGGTTTCACTCCTCAGGGTGAAACGTCCAGCTTAGGAAAAGTCTGATTAGTCTGAGATGGATGGAAACCCCCCTTTTTTTTTTCTCCAGAGAGCACTGAAAGGAGAACTCGGGCAGTGGTTTTTCTTCTTGAGCCTGGGCGAGAGGTCGGAGGACCCCCCTGGTTTCCATGGCCATGGAGAATGACCAGGTCAAGCCAAGTAGGTTGCATCTATGTTCATCAGGGATATTGGTCTTAAGCTTTCTTTCCTTGATTTGTCTTTTGCTTTGGTATCAAGGTGAAACTAGCTTCATAGAATGAGTTTGGAAAGGTTTCTTCTTTTTCTATTTCATGGAATAATTTGAGGAGGATTGGTGTTAGTTCTTCTTTGAAGGTATGGTAGAACTTGGCAGAGAATCTGTCCGGTCCTGGGCTTTTCTTTGTTGGTAAGCTTTTGATGCTTTCTTCAATTTCATTGCTTGAAAATGATCTGTTTAAATTTTCTATGTCCTCCTGATTCAATATGGATAGGTTATATGTCTCTAGAAATTTGATGATGTCTTCAAGATTTTCTATTATATTGGGGTATAAATTTTCAAAATAGTTTCTGATTATTGTTTGTATTTCAGTAGTGTCCATGGTGATATTTCCTTTTCATCACGAATTTTAAACTTTGATTTTTTCCCTCTTTCTCTTGGTTAGCTTGGCTAATGATTTATTAATTTTATTTATTTTTTTTCAAAGAGTCAACTTTTTGTTTTTTTGATTTTTTTTTTCATTTCAACTTCATTGATTTCAGCTCTTATTTTAATTATTTTCTTTCACTGCTATTGGTGTTGAT